TATGGAACCGTTTAAGTAGGATAGAAGGCAGTTCATCTTTATAGGTCTGGTAGCATTTGGCTGTGGATCTGTCTGATCCAGCCGGATTCTCTCTGTTGGGAGATTTTTTATTACTGTTTCAATCTCACAACTCATTATAGGTCTCTTCAGCATTTCTGTTTCTTCCTGATTCAAGCTTGGGAGGTTGTGCATTTTATTCATTTCCTCCAGATTTGTTAGTTTGTGGGTGTACAGGTTGTCACAATAGTGACAGTTTGTATTTCTGTGATATCTGTCATAATGTCTCCTTTTCATTTCTGATTTGGCTTACTTAAATTCTTTTTCCCCTATTCATGTTTAATCTACCTAGCAGTCTATAAGTTTTGTTTATTTTTTCAAAGAACCAACTTTTTGTTTCATTGATCCTTAGTATTTTTTTGTTTTTTTGGTGTTCATTTCATTTAGTTCTACTCTGATATTTGTTATTCTTTTCTTCTGTTACCTTTGCAGTTTTTTTGTTTTTCCCCTCCCAGTTCCATGAGGTGTAACATTAAAATGGCCATTGTTAACTTTCTGTCTTTTGATGCAGGCATTTAGTACTGAACATCCCCTCTCACCACTGCTTTTTCCATTTCCCAGAGATTTCCGTAGTTTGTGTTGCCTTTGTTGTTTAATTCCAAAAATTTTTGATTGCAGTCTTGATTTCATTATGGATCCAAAGGTTGTTTCATTATCTATTTGTATGGTTTCCACATATTTGTATAGTTTAGAGAGTTCCTCTTGGAATTATTTCTAGTTTTGTTCTACTGTGGTCTGAGAAGACATACTCTATCTATCTTGAAAAACGTTCCATGTGCTTATAAGAAGAATTTATATTCTGCAGTTTGGGGGCAGAATGTGCTATAAATTTCTATTAGGTCCATTTATTCTAGAGTCCTGACTAAGTCCAGTGCTTCTTTGTTGGTTTTCTACCTTGATGATTTGTCTGATTCTGTCAGTGGTGTGTTGAAGTGTCTGGTAGTATGATGTTGCTATTTATCTCTTTCCTTAGGTCTAGTAGTTTTGTTTTATGAATCTAAGAGCTTCTGTGATGGGTGTATATGAGGTCTGACAATTAAGTTCGTGAACTTGCCACCATGCACTTACATTGGTTGGCAGTACTGTAAAAACAACTCAGTACGTTTTCATCACCGAGGTATGTCAGTGTCTCACCGCTAAGTTCACATCAACATGTGTTGGTGTCTTACTAAGTGCTGTTCATTATTGTTGTGTGTTTTTATGTGCTGTTGCAAGAATGTCAAAGCCTGAATTGGAGCAATAAATAAACATAACATTTCTTGTTAAACTTGGCAAGAGTAGACGTAAAATCAGAGACATGTTAGTCCAAGTTCATGGGGATAATGTTGTGAAGAAAATAGCAACGTACAAATGGATTAAACATTTTTTGAGAGGAGAGAAAGCATAATTGATAAAGTGATGTCAGGGTGGCCAGTAATGAACAAAACTGACAAAACACTGCAAAAATTTTTCAAATTGTGCATCAAAATCCTTGGCTGACTGTGAAGCATAGCAGACCAAGTAAACATTGATAGAGAAACAATCAGGAAAATCTTAACTGAAAATCTTGGCATAATAAAGTTGTTTGTATAAATGGTCTCTAAGGCGCTCACTCATGAATAAAAGCAAAAAAGAGTTTAAATTTGCCAAGACATACTGGAGAAGCAAAATGATGTTTGGGGTGGTGTCATCACTGGTGATGAAACATGGGTATACTAGTAGGACCTGAAACAAACTATCAGGGTGCATAATGGGTGTCAGCCAATTCTCTATGACCAAAAAAGTTAAAAAAGTTCCATCAGTCCAAATCTAGAGTCAAAACAGTGTTGCTACCCTTTTTTTGATATCATAGAGATTATTCATTATAAATTCATAGCAATTGGACAAATGGTTGATTCAACTGGCTGAAGTGCCCAGTATAATGATGTTGCTGTTTATCTCTTTCCTTAAGTCTAGTAGTTTTTGTGTTATGAATCTAGGAGCTTCTGTGACGGGTGCATATGAGGTCTGACAATTAAGTTTGTAAACTTGCCACAAATTCTCCATGGCCAAAAAGCATTCCATCAGTCCAAATCAAGAGTCAAAACAATGTTGCTAAACTTTTTTGATATCATAGGGATTGTTCATTATGAATTCATAGCAATTGGACAAACAATTAACCAAGTTCACTATTTGGAAGTGATGAAAAGGCTGCCTAAAAAAATTAGATGAAAATGACCATAATGCACCAGTGCACACGACACTGTCTGTGAGGGAGTTTTTAGTCAGTAAACAAATAACTGTATTGTTACATCCTCCCTACTCACCTGATCTGGCCTCCAATGCCTTTTTTCTTTACCCAAAGCTAAAGGAAATATCGAAAGAAAGACATTTTGATAAAATCCAGGACATCAAGGATGATACAACAACAGCTTTGATGGCCATGACAGAAAAAGAGTTACAAAATTGCTTTGAAGGGAGGACTCGACCCTGGCATCAGTGCATAGCTTCCCAAGGGGAGTACTTTGATGGTGATTATAATGATATTCAGCAATGAGGTATGTGGTACTTTTTCTAGGATGAATTTGCAAACTTAATTGTCAGATCTTCAGAACTTTAAGGACACCCTGTATTTAGAATGTTAAATCTCTGTAGCAGACCATAATGCTTTAAGGAAAGGAGAAGCGAGAGCTAAGCTTGGAAACACTCAGTAATTATAAGAAACACAGGGAACATCTGGGTACCATAACACCTTGGTGATAAGGGCATGGGGAAGGGAGAGCTCGCAAGATGAGAACAGCAGTGACTGGCAGTCCCTACACCTGTGGGATGTGGCAGTCTCTGCGCCATGGGATCACATGTATAAAAAGCTGCAGGAGAAGGCAGTCAGGGAGCGTGCATTCTTTCACGGACTTGCTTACTCTGACTCTTTCCTTTTTCCTGCCTGCAGAAGGCCTGCACCGCATCTAACAAGACTGCTAAGATTCACTCTCTTACTAATACTGTTTCTCTCCCTCAAATAACGTCTCCCTCTCTCTCTTCCTTCTGCTAAGGTGAGTAGCCCTCAGGCACCTAAGAGTAATTGTTCCAGAGTAAGATAGCACAGCAGTCAGCATCCAGACAATGGATAAGCTGGGGCCAGAGACCTGGTCAGTCTGGACCCGACAAGTGGTGACCCAGATGACACCTGAAGTATCTTGTAGAATTGATCCACTTGTCATTACATAATGACCATCTTTGCCTTTTTTATTGCTGTGGATTTAAAGTCTATTTTATATGATATAAGAATATGTACACTTGCCAGGTTTTGGTTTCCATGTGTGTGAAATATTTTTTACCTTAGAGTCTATGAGAATAGTTGGGAGTTGTGTGGTTTTCTTAGAGACCTCATACAAGTGTGCTGTATCTGAATTGTGCTGTTTATCCATTTTGCTGGGGAATGGATAGACAGGGAATTTAGATTGTTGAAACCCAGTTTTAACAATGATATGTGAGATACTGTTCTAGTCAGATTGGTCGTTACCTCATTTCTTCGTTTTCTCCCTGTGTTACTGTTCTGGAAGATCTGCAAGTTTTTTCCTTTGGGTGCTTTTACACCCGTGGTATCAACTGTTTCCTTCCATAATGGAGCACTGTTAAGCATTTCTTATAGGTAAGTCTAGTGGTGACAAATTCCCTCAGTGTTTACTTGTCTGGAAAAGACTTTATTTCTCCTTCATTTATGAAACTTAGTTTTGCAGGATGCACAAACCTTGGCGGGCAGTTACTCTGTTTAATACTGAAAGTGGGACTCCCAGTCCCTCTTCTGAGAAGTCCGCCATTTGTCTGATGGGTTAGCTTTTGTAAGTTACTTCATGCTTTAATCTTGCATCTGTAGGATTTTTTTCCCTCACTTTGCCTTTGGTCAAACTGATGACTATGTGCCTTGGTGATGTCCTATTTGCCATGAATCTTCCAGGTGCTCAATGACCTTCTTGTGTCTGGATGTCTAAATCTCAATTAATACCAACAAAGTTTTCCTCTATTTTACCCTCAAACAGGTTTTCCATGCTTTTTTGCTTTATTTTTTCTTGTCTCTCAGAGATATCTATAATTTTTATATTTGTGCTGCCTTCAGGTAGGAAGCCAGCAGCCTCAAGATCACATGTGGGCCACCAGATCCTCAAGTGTGTCCCCTTGACTGAATCTAAACATCCTAGAAAAAAATCTATTTATTAAAATGATCTGGTGTGTAAAATTTGGATTTAGTCAAAAGAGGATCCAGAAGACCACAGGTTCCCTATCCCCACATATCTTGAATCATTTTTCTTTCTTTTCTTTCTTTTTTTTTTTTTTTTGTTACTTTTTGTTGGTTTTCAACTGTCTTATCAATCTCATTGAGCTTATTTGCAGCCCAGAGTTTGATTCCATATTTACCATCTCACACATTTCCTTTTGTTTAGAGTCCATGGCTAGAGTGATAGTGTGATCTGTTTGAGTTGTCAAAACAACCTGTTTAATCATGTTGCCAGGGTTCTTATACCCGTTGCTTCTCATCTGGAACTTCTGTCAGCTGAAAACAGGTAGCTTTGTACTTCACTGTTCTCTTCTGCCAGGGCCTCTGCTGTTTAGTGTAGGAGGGAGCTTGGCTCACGTAGATAGGTTCTCACGGTGGCATTGCTGGTAATTTGAGTTGGTTGGACCTCATACCTCTGGGAGAGTGTTCAGGTGCCAGTGGTAGTGGACTAGGTTAGGTAATCCCCTGTTCCCAGGTCTCTGAATGGCCTATCTGAGTCCTGGAGGAACCAGACCAAGAGCTGGCAAACTTGCCCTGTCCTGGCAAACTTGCTCTGTCCCTGGGTTCAGGCACTGGCTATCATAGTGAGGGGTGGGGTGATGCCCTGCTCTGGAAGAATGTTCAGGTAGGAGAAGGGCAGGTGTACTATTGGTCTGGGAAAGGAGGGGCGGCCCTTCTTAAGATTAGCAGAGCTAGTCAAAATACAGAAAAAAGTATGGAACACTTCATGGATTTGCACGTCATCTTTGAGCAGGGGCCATGCTCATCTTCTCTGTATTGCTCCGATTTTAGTGTGTGTGCTGCCAAAGCCAGCATACAGTTAGTCTTACGCAGGAACTGCATTTGTGATACATGACAGACTCCTTGATGGCGTTATCACCATTAACAATTTTAAGTAAAAAAAATTCTAAAAGTATTCCAAAAAATAGATCCTGGCATGAGCAATTAATGGTGTGAGATCCTAAAAGCATCAAGAAATATCACTAACAGCATGTTTCTGTAAAAGGTGTGATATCTCCAAACTAAACAACTCAACAGGAAAATTCTCAGCCTGCAACATTCAAATTAGATTATCTCTCTTTTCTTATTTCTTAAACTCTGCCATTCAATTTCATGACACCTGAAAATTTATATCATAAACTGTTAGTAAATGATCCAAATGTTCAAAATGTTTGTTAAGATGAACCTCACATTCCGTCTTCTCACTCTGAGTGCATTACATTTATTTCTCAAAGATGGCCTAGGGTTTCTTATCAAAACCTACTTGGACATTTGACATTAGTTACATTTTTATACATACCAAATGGTTTTAAAACCAGGATGTCAGAACATATATCTGAGCAGTATAAAGGGAGATGACAAAGGATTCATTTTAAAATTGGCATTGAAAAGTGGCGATGGGCTCGGCGCCTATAGCTCAACCGGCTAATGCGCCAGCCACGTACACCTAAGGTGGCGGGTTCGAATCCCCAGCCCGGACCCGCCAAAACAACAATGACGGCTGCAACCAAAAAATAGCCGGGCGTTGTGGCGGGCGCCTGTAGTCCCAGCTACTTGTGAGGTGGAGGCAGGAGACTCGCTTGAGCCCAGGAGTTGGAGGTTGCTGTGAGCTGTAATGCCACGGCACTCTACCCAGGGGGACAGCTTGAGGCTCTGTCTCAAAAAAATGAAAAGTGGTGATGAACAAGAAAGGATCACCAAAAGTGGCCATCACCCAGATCCTCCGTTAGGAAGGAAGAATCTATTCTCCCAGGTATAGACAGACCTCATTCATCTCTGGCTTCCAGGATTACTTCAAAAGAAGAGAATTGTCACTCCCAAGGCCACACTTGCTTCCCAGGGAAGCAGGTGTCAAAAGACTTACCAGTGACTCTCACCACCACTGCAGACAGCCCGGGCAGCTGAGACCTCTGAGAACATGCTGCGGCTCAATACTCTCTCTGCCCAGTTCTGCTTTTTTCTTTTTCTATGACAGGTGTTGATCCCTTCTGCTTCCCCTGATAAACATCTAATTCCTAATCTCCATCTCAGTCCATCTCCTAGGACACCCAACCACACATGTACCAGGCAAGCAGTACAAGCAACTGACCTGTTTTATCTGTGAACTAGACATCACAGTATTGTCCCTGCTCTACAGAGGAGAAAACTGAACGACAAAAAGACTCATTACTTGTCTTTACTTGTTAATTCCTTGTATTGCTTGTCAAATGTCATCTAAATTGTGAGTAGCAGAGCCAGGCTTTGAGCTCTGGCCACCTGCCCCAGGGAGCACGAGCTCTGGGTTAGGCTTTGGCTTAAGGGAATGTTATGGCTGGCTTGATCTTCTATCTAGACCATTAATTTTCTCTATATCAGCGAAAATTCTTATGTTTCGCTCTCTTGTCATTCATATGTTCACTGAAGTAGCACCTTTAATTTTATCCAAGGATTCTTGCTTTGCCTTCACAACTCGGCCAGCTATTCAGTGAGGTCAGGAGGCCTTGCTTTCAGCCTATCACAGTCTCCTTCACTAAGCTTAATCATTTCTAGCTTTTGACTGAAAGTGAGAGATGTGCAACTCTTCATTTTATGTGGATACCTAGAGACCATTGCAGGGCTACTAACTGACCTCATTTAAATACTGTTGTGTTTTAGGGAATAGAGGCCCCCCAAAGAGAGGGAAAGAAAGAGATGAGAGAGTGGCCTGTTGGTGGAGCAGTCAGAACACACACAACATTTATCAGTTAAGCTCACCACATCATATGGGCACAGTTGTGGTGCCCACAAACAATTACGACAGTGACATCAGAGATCACTGATTGCAGATCACCATAACAATTATAATGATAAGGTAATTGAAATACCTTGTCATTATACAAGGTATTTGAAATTACCTTTCAATACAAGGTAATTGAAATATCTCTGAAATACCACAAGAGATACCAAAATATGACACAGAGATGTGAGATAAGTGCTCGCTTTCAGGAAAATCGGGCCAGTAGACTAGCTCCACACAGGGTTGCTACAAACATTCAACTTGTAAAAATGCAGTATCTTTGGAGCATGGTAAAGTGAGTGTGATAACACGAGCTATGCCTGTGTGCCCCTTTGTTTGGGGACTTGACAATCAATCAGGAGAGAGAGAAAAGAAAGTTCTATTTTATTTTCCCTTAGATAATTGTTTTATGTTGTAGAATCCCCACATCAATGTCTCCCCTACTTCTCCCCAAAATTATCTCCTAGGAAAGTAAAATTTTATTTGAAATTTTCTTCTGTGGATACTTGGTCAGCGACATTTTCTCATAGTAACTGCCCACAGAATGGAGAATAATGCTCTTGCCCAAGATTCATTTCTAAGGATGCCTTTCAAGTATGTCCTCCTTGGACAAGGGTGCCGTGTAGGTGGTCTTCAGATGCTACTCTCTCCAACGTTTTCCCAAGGAGTTCTGCAAATAGCAGAACCAATGAATTCTAGTGTTTGAAATAATCTTCTCTAAACTTAATTTCTCTGACCATTCTCTCATTTCCTAAATAGTTATTTTTCAGAAAAAAATGTAAAAATATGTATGCACATCTATAATCTGAAAAGGCCAGATATGGAATAAAAGAGAGTGGGTAGGATATTTGACTGTGTTGGAAATAGAGATGCTTAGAAAGAATTAGAATTGCTTGCTGCCTCGGTTTTCCATGTAAAGGCCCCAGTCGATGCCTTTTAAGAGTTTGCAGTAATGTAGCCTCGTACCTTCATCTTTACAGGCTTCCACTGCCTCTTCTGAAGCGGGGCTGGGCACGGTGGCAGTGTTGGCTCCATCTATAGGGCAGAAACAGACACACTGACTCAGACTTCATCCTGTCAAGCTGTGGCTTCCTGCCCTGCCCCTCTCTCCCTGCTCCACCAAAGAAAACGTGAGCTCACTGCATGTTGTAACACACCGAATGTTCTGTGAAGGGGCTAGTGCTCTGGGACTCTCTTTATAATTAGCCCAATAGAAAGCTTCAGTCAAGGCAGAAAAACCAATGTAGTACAAACTGTTTTGTGTGTGTAGGTGTGTGAAAAATACTATTTGTTGGTAATAATACACTTTGGCATTTTGCTTTGTCGTCACCATTTAAAGATGATGTATTATTTTTCTTAGGAGTAGATTGTGAAAGAAAGTATATACTTGCAAGTTTCTACAGAGAGATTTTGTGTGTGTGTGTTTAAAACTTTGGTTTTTCTTAGCACAGCACTTCTGCTCTACCAAGCCAGGCTGTCAAGCTGCAGAGAGCAGTTCTGATGGCTGTCAGTGTAGAGGCCCGGGAGAGGGGGATCATTTGGCAGAAGGCACCGGAAGCCATTTGGAGATTTCATGTCACCCAAGAACAAAATGGAGAGTAAGGACTTGGAGGTCTCTGTCCCCCTCCCAGCACCAATTAACCTCATCAGAGTCACTCTCTGTTCTCAGTGTCAGTAGCACCACTGTCACTACTCATCTTTGGCCTCCAGGATAACAGATAATTAGCTTGCTGAGATTAAAACAGTAATCACAGGGTGGACATAAAGTTTGTGTGCAATTTAAATATAAATTTAATTCATGAAATATAATTATAGTGAACTTTATGTCCATCCTGTATAAGACATGAAATTATCAAAATCATTTGTAAAGGTTAATATCTCATAATTCAAAAAGGAATCCGTTACAGGGTCATGGAACTAGAGGTAACTCGCATATACACGGTAACTGACACACATTTAGAGCCGATGCACATGTTTTCTAGCTTATCTTTTGTCCACAGAATGTATAGTGTTACTTTAAGGTCAGGTTTCCATTGGAATGGAGAGTACAAATTTTAGTAGGGGATAACTGGAGATGATGAGTCACTTTCTTTTCTTAGATGACAATATCCTATTTAAAACAAACAAACAAACAGAAACTATTAACCTTCCCTGATGTCACACAACTCCCTGTTTTTCTGCTTCCTGTCCCAGCTAAGCTCCCTGGAAGCAGCTATTGCTGCTCATCTCACTTCTCACTCCGTAACCCACGCAAAGTGGCTTTTCCTCCAAAGTTCCTCTGGGGATTGTCTTATCAGAGGTGCTGAGCTTCCTGTGCAAATCCAATGGTCATTTCTCTTTTCGTATCTTGCTTGACTTCTCAGTGGCATTTCGCAGTCCTTCCTCCGACCTTCTTCAAGCACTTTCTTACTGTGGCTGCTCCATCTTCACTGGCCACGTGTCTAGCTGTCATCTTGTTCCAGGTCCATCGCCTTCATTATGATGTGTTCTCCCAGGAGAATCTCATCTAGTCGCATGGTTTTAAATGTCATCCTTAGGTTGGGGACTTTCAAATCTGTGTCTGTACTCCACACCTCTCGCTGGGAATCTGGAGACATATCTAACTGGCTCTCGTGTGGCTAAGAGTCCTTGCAAATTTGCTGTGGCCAAAACTGATCTGTTAGGTTTCTCAACAAGAACCATGTGTCCTGTGGCCAGTTTTTCCTATGTCGTCCACATAGTTACTGAAGCTAGAACCCTTACCCCAGGGCCCTCTTTCCCTCAGCCCTGTCATCTACCCCATCAGCATGTCCTATCGTCTTTCCTTCCAGAACGTGACGCCTCTCAGTCCATTCATCACCATTTCCAGCCACCACCATCACCGCTTCTCTGCAGTAGCCTGCTTAGCGTCTAGCTCTTCTCTTTTGACCTATTTTCATTCACAGGCAAAATCAGCTTTTTAAAACATAGATCATGCCTGGGTGATACTTACAATCTCCCATTAACTTCCTTTGTAGTTCTTATGAAATCAAATCATATACAGTCAGACGTGACCTGTCATTTGCATGATCTGTTCACTCCATCTAGAAGACTCTGCCACCATATCGTTATCCATCTCTCATTTTAATGATCATGTCCTCAAAGCGTCCTCCTAAATCCAGCTAATGGAAGTTGCCATCTGTGTCCTTCTCTGTTGTCTCATTTCTCTGAAAGACACTTATTGCTATTGATATTTTAATCCTCTTTTATTTGTTTATTGTTTGGATGCCTTTACCAAAATGTAAGCTTCAAGGAGGCAAGAATATTGTCCTTATTGATGTTGCCATATTCTTAGTGCTTGTAGCATGCCTGGGACACAGTAAATTTTTCATTTGTATTTGTAATGTGACTTTTTAAAGGACTATTACCCTACAACTTCTATTTAATTTGATCAAGACAATGGTCAAAATTGCTAGATTATGCTGTTTGGAGATTATGGGGTTTTCTTTTTGTTTGTTTGTTTTTTTATGATGTGGAAGAGGCCTGCAAGATTGTATAATGAAAATTGAAGTTGGAAATTATATTGAATGAAAAGAAGATATTTTCATTTTGGGAAAATAATAGCAAGTCAAAAGGGCTTTTATAACCAGAAACACATTTTCAATTTCTCTGCACTCTGATTAGGGAAGCAATGAAATAGCAGAATGAACATAAAATTGTACATGGACACCAGCCAGGGTCATAGACGGATCCTGTCAATGGACTCTGTTCCAGCAGGTGGCTTGCTGGAGGACAGAGATGCCACTCAGGGATGCGTTACAGCTCTCTAGTGAGAGGTGCTGCTCTGTGGGGATGACACCATCAGATTCAAGGGGTGGAGAAAAGGGTGGACATTCTAACCATCTTTGCTCATAGGCAAGGTCATTTCAAATTTAGGAATGAACTACCTGTTTTTAATTGATTAAGGGAAAAGGATGAATAAATAAAACAGGCAAATCTGTATGCATATGTGTGCACAAGCGAGTGTGCATGTGTATGTCTGTGCACAGGGCTTGGGGAAAATCTATGTGGATAAAGGTAGTTTGGGACACAGCCACGAGTGAATAAAACCTGAGAAACCTCAACAGTCAGAGAATGGCCTTAGCTGTCAGCAGTTACTTGACTAATACTTGTCAGCCCCAAACAGTAAAAACAGTGACAGCTTTCCACATGAGACTCATCTGCTATGGAGCATGATGATGAGTGGGTTGGGGGTGAGGGAGGTTTGGGTAACAACAGTTTGCTGTACCTGAAATTCATTTCATTGCCAAGAACACTTTGCAGGAAAGGGAGCCAGCCAACCAGTCACAGGTGCACAAGGTCCTGTGGCCTCACCTCAGTGCTTGCTCTGATTGGCCTTCTTTAGTTCCATCTCTAGGTTAATAATAAAAGCTGCTAGTTCCCTACAAAAGCTCCAAGGTTAATGTATGAAATTTTCAGTGAAAAACTTATCACGCTACCTGTTTTAGTTCCAAGAGTTCAGCACATGGCCTAGGACACACCTGGTACACATCAGACAGAGCCCAACTATTCCAAAAATGCCCCTCCATAGGGCTCACTGTAACCTAGAGAATGACTTGGAACCTAAAGGGAAGGAGGATTTTTATTTTGGTGGTAATGTGATAACTGCACGTTATGTCTATCATTCTTTTTAACGAGAGTGTGGCTGAGTACAAAGATGAGTAGAAAGAGATAGTAAATCAAAGGTGAGCCTAATTCCTTTTGAGCCTTGAGTCCTGCTTTATTAAAAAATGTTCAATTTATAATCTACAATGTAGCATCTGTAAGCATTAGGTTGTCCTTTAGTGAACAGGGGTGATGCTGGGGAGGCATTGGACCTCACTTAGAACTCTGTGTGTGTGGGTGTGGGGCAGGGGGGTTCAGGCTACATGACACCATATCCCACAGTAGCAGAGAAGTGCCTGGAAGTATATGGCCCTTCAAACTTGAATGAAAATCAGTAAAGAACACTCTCGCTCAATGTGCAGGGAAAGCCTCTTCTTGGTTTCCTTCAAACTATTTTTATTCTATTTTCCCCTTCAAACTACATCTGCTAATTTTGGCCTGACTTAAGTCAGCCAAGCTGTGCCTGGGCATGTCTCACCTCCTCCCCAACCCTCCTAGAATATTACCAAGCAAACTGTTATTACAGGGACAAAAGATGGAATTAGTGAATGAGACTTGAGGATGTACCACCCTGATGGGAAGCACTGTCAACTCACAGTTAACAGTGTTGGTGGCTTCCTAAGGGAGACCCGAATGAACATGGGGGTTAATCCAGTGAAAGGTATAAGATTTTTCAGACAATAGCATTGAGTAAAGTCATTGTTCACCTCTGTGGATGAGGCCTAGGAGACTCCTCAAAAGGAATCTGAGCCCACCTGCTTCTTGGCTCTGCCCTTCCATTTCTTCTGCACTTTGCTTTTCCTCTGGGCCCGTCTCATCTTTCAAGACAACCATGGAGGGAAAAAACAAAATGCATCAAGTTAATTTATGAATTATCTCTTTATGGTAATATGCAGCACTGAAATTAATTGTAACCAATGTAGCATGATTCCCTATAAAGCAAAGCAGAGCAATGAATCAAAGGCGTGAAACAGAAAGATTACCTGCATAAACAGGTGCATTCATATCATCCCTTCTCACATGATTTGCCAGATGAAATGTTGAACTACAGTGAACAAAATTCACTCAGCAGTCCTGGTAACATCTCTCCTAGCTCACCATTTCCCAAAATGCAATAAAGATTTCAATTCTAGTCGGCTTTTCTGCCTTGTTTTAAGTAACATGTGCTATATAAGAAAACTTGGCTGATTAAGTTTCTATACCCTTTATTTTTCCATTCAATATATGTTGCAAAAAAAGTCTATTTCACTTAACTTTCACCTGACAGTCTAAAATACCTATGCTACAAAATATTTTGTCTTGAACAGATCATGCTGGTTTAAGTTTATTCCATAGTATATAACTGTGTGAAAAATAAATAACTGGACAGGTACAATGGAGGCTATTGTAGCAACTATTTAAAAACATTTTCTATTTTTAAATTTTATTTTTTAATAAAATTTCAGATTAATATGGGGACACACAATTAGGTTACATAGTTTGCATCTGTAAAGTCTGAGTTGTAGTTGTTTCCTTCACTTGGGAAGTGTGCCATAAAAACACTTTCCCTGTGGGTGGGAAGTTGCCATAAAAATATCTTATTTTGTCTTAAAATGTGTACCATATCTGTGGATTTCTGTTTAGAAGGAAAGAAACTTTCAAAGGTAAGTAAAAGCATGATCTAATAATTCATTGCTAGAAGAGTCTCCAAATTAATTTCTGTTTGAAAAATAAATAAAAAGATACATTTATCTAAGAGAATAGGAACAAAATATAAAATGTGTAGTTAAGTACAAAAACCAGAGAAGCAGAATTTACCAGGCTTAATTAATGTGACTTAAAGATGGCTGCGAATGCTTTGTATCTCAAGAAGTAGAATCTGTCTCCCTTCTCTTTGAATCCTGACCAGTTCTGTAATTTGTATAGAACAATGCAATGTGGTAGAGGTGATTTTCTGTGGCTTCCAACCTGTCCCTAAAGGACTGGCAGCTTCTGCTTTCTGCCTCTGGGAAGCCAGGTGCCGAACTGTAATGTAGCTGAAGCTAGCCTACCACGTGGAGAAAGACACATGGAAAGTGAGAAGAGCTGCGTGGGGGAGCTCTGAGGCATCAGACATGTAAGTGCGTCCTTCTGGAACCTTCCAACCCAGCCAAGCTGAATGCAACTGAATGGTGACCTCAGCCAATGCCACAAGTGGAAGAATCATCTGGCTGAGCCCTCACCCATAAGCAGACCAAACGACTTAGCTTTGTCTTGCTCGAGAGCTTTGATGAATTATTTCCTAATACTGCCAGTTGTTAATCCAGAGGAAAGAGGATGGGGTCACCTCCCCAGAGGAGGCCTGTGCTACTAGAGCTGAAAGAAGAACCTCAGAAAAGAGGAAATGTATCACCTAGCAGCTCTGAAAAATAAGTGATGGAAGAAAGTTTCAAACAGGGAAACATTTGGATTTGACCTAAATGAAAGAAAAGTTTATAACAGAATGTTAACAAAAGGGGAAAAAAAAAAACAAGGAAAAAAAGAGAGACTCTGACATTGGTGAAGGGTGCAGTCAATAGGTCTGTAACACGGACAGAATCCTCACTGCTTGCTCATCACTGGGCCGTCTGTCACAGGGGCTTCTAACATAAGAACCTGGGCCAGCTCTAGATGCAATCAGATCCAGGTTCTAAGAGGCATACTTACAAGTACCATGCAATTAGCTGGCTTTTTCTCTACTCTGATTCTTCATAAAGGTAATGATGTTGGCCTTTGCTCTAAGGAGGAAATAGTCATTTCTACTGTTCTTGCTCTCTTATCAAGGTCAAGTTGATTCAGCCGCACATGCAAAAAACTTAGCTAATATCTGTCCCCTTCCTCCCACCAAATGGACTCAGAGTCAAGTAGGAGCAACCTGCCAGCTTTTCTTTCTTCCTTCCTCAACAGACAGACCTTGTAACACATTTTTTCACAATAGGCCTGAAGTCTGCAGGTAACAGGTTGCCTTAAAAACTAGTCTGGTTACCAGCTCTCCTACAGAGTGGGAATAAAGAGCTTTTTTCGGAAGAGTAGAACAGTAAGAAGAGAAGGAGAAACAGCAACTAAATCACAGGAATGTGAGGAATTGGTCCAGCAGTTATAAATGCATAAAAAGGAATTCAAGCTCAGACCCCCAAATCTAGCTTTCTAATGGTATTGTAACAACCAGTCTAGCAGTTTACCTAAGATGCTGCTCTGGGCTTTTACCCATACCCTGGGTTTTGACCCTTAGGGAGCCAACGTGCTCCCTAACACAGACCTCTGAGTGGCATGCTTCTGTTTTCTGCTTGGAGTCTCTGCTGCACAGTTTTCTATTTGCAGTATTTCTGCCCTTTGAGAACCAAACTTAAGAAACATTTGGCATGTTTATCGCCGAGTAAATGCCTTCTAGAAGAATGCTGGTTTTGGCATTTGAGTAACATGCCCTCAGACAAAATGGTTCAAGTATATTGCTTTCATCGATTTCCAGAACAGTATAGCCTCAAATCCAGCAGGGGGAGCCAATGTAGAAGTCTTGTTTTCCACGCCCAGCATATGCATTTTGGGGCAGTTAGATTAGCATTCATTTCACTTTCTTTTAGAAGGACATTTTGGCTGGCTTATGACTCCCCATCCATTTTAAATACTTCAAATGGGTGAGTTCTTAGTGAAACAGTGTGTGTCCACTGGTAGGGGAAAAAAGCCACATTACAAAGTGACTGATAAGGATTTGATAAGGGCAAGCTTTCCTATTATCAGCCCTGCCTGTCTAGCTATCATCACAGGACATACATAAACAATAAAAAGTTAAGTAGAGTGGGGCATGTAAAGGTGTGGTTTTTAGAAAGGGATTTTAAAAGCTTTACTATAAATGTGAAGCAATATAGGGAAATGCCAGGCTATTTTGTTAGCTCAAAAGATGTCACACAGAAGCTACATTTTCATAGTTAATATACCTTTGAAATCACATATTAACTTCAGATAATAAATTTCCACAGAGTCCATGATGAGTGTGCTGAAAAGCAGAGTAACCTTGAGGATTTCACTGGTTGTATCTTTCTCACTTTTCAGTATCAGTTCTCTTCTCTTCCCTCTTCTTTAAGCCCATATTTATTAAGCATGTAGCGTCTGCAAGAATATTTCAGAAATTTTATAGAAATAAAATGAGACTCCTAATGCAAAATGAATTCACGTAAGTGAAAGGAAGACTCCACTGGCTGGACTGTGATAAGAATGCAATCCATATTTAACTCTGCATGGGAGAGTTTTACAAGGGCAAAATCGCGACATGGTGATTACAAATTGCTGTCCTACAAGTTTCTTTTGTGAACTGTACATGGGGATATGAAGAGAAAGGATAAGGAAATCAGAATCCATCCCTGTTACTGGGGAATGATCTGATGTGCACTTCCGACTGGTCTACTCTTGCCTTTTATCATAAAGGTCTTGAGACTTCTAGAAAAGGGGAAAATATGGACAATCCCAAACCAAGGGATCTACCAAGGTTTGTAGATTGAGTTATTGGTCCCATTCTTTAATTTCATGGTATTAGGATTATAATACAGAGGGTGCCAAAAAATGTAGACACATTTTAAGAAAGGAAAAAACTGTACTAAAATTGTAATACTCAAATCAAGTTTGACTTCTTCAATTACAAGAGATACATATGACATGCAAGATAATAAATGTTGTTGGTATACATTGTGTATTACAAATTTAATACAATATTTTTTCTTTCTTAAAATGTACATACATTTTCTTGGCACTCTTTGTGTATGCCAGCATTCCTATACTGTGGGCAGAGAATATTTCCATCCTATTGATGATGGACTTGGCCATGTGACTCGATTTGTCTAATGAAATGCCATGTAAATGAGCTTATTTCATGTACTGCATAATTAGATTTGGTGCTTGTGCTTCTGACATTTGCCATACAAGAAGGTGCCCTTGTAGCTACAGGAGGATGAGAGGTACATGAAATGGACTTGGACCAAATCATGGTCTGAAGCCACGTGTGGACAACCCATAGCTTGAAGCACAACCAGCCAGCTGAGCCCAGCCTACGTCAATCAAACCACAATCAACTAGCAGAGCCTGGGAATATTTTTTTGCAGGAAAGTACATTTTGGGTGAAAGTATATTTTGGGTGATTGCTACAACATTATTATAGCAATAGCTGATTAATACATATGGTATGTTTATTTTTCTCAGCTCAAGAAGGCTTGAAGTTACCTTTTTTAAAGTTAGCACTCTTTTTTTCTAAAGAATTCAGTCTTTAATATTGTATTCTCCTCCATCTATATTTTCATCTCACATTTTCCAAAATTCTCTAGAAGACACACATTTGAAAAATAAACTTAGTTTATCTAATAAAGGAATGCTATTAAGGGGTGTGTACTGCCATCAACACGATAATGTTTATGTTTTGTTTAACTATGGAGCTATCTAGGCAACAGGATAATTCTAGTTAATACTAGCTAACATTTATTGAGTTCTGCATATGTTCCACTCACTCAGTGCTTAACTGCTTTGCAGAGGCTATCAAATTTGATTCTCATAAAAGCACATGAGGTAGAAATTATTATCTATGTTTCATGAATGGTAAAACCAAGACACAGAGACGTTATGTAAGATTCCACAATAGTGATGGACAATTTTAATCCAGTCAACTGATGCCAGATCCCAGTATTGCCTCTCTGGAACATAACTAATATTTGTTATCTGGATAAGAGAGTTAAATTATGGGCCAGCACAAATGCAGAAAGTGTAGCGTTAATATACAACACAAAGAACATTGAGAATAACCCCTCTGGCACCTAAGTTAGATGGCTGCAATGTTACA